GAGGCCTCGTTGCTCGCCTGCTCCCTTTAGACTATGGTCCTGCATTTTAAACTTTTATTTTACCGGCAGAAAGGTTTATTCATGCCTTTCTGCGGACTGTTAAAGCCATGCTACCCCAGATAGCTATGCCATGGAGCCCAGCGGTATACTGAAAGACTGTATGAAAGACTTTGGCTCCATGGCAATTGAACTGTATGTATATGATCTGAGCGCCATTCGGTAGTAATGTGCGCTCAGATCTAAGCTATCTGGGGATATGTAGAATGTATATGTTTTAGGCAATAAATGTGGCTGTATGTAATTTTATGTATTTTACTGTATTGTTACTGCCATGTGGTTAATGGAGTCTTGCCTCTGTCCTGGGAGATAACTGGATTACTTCCCAATTAACTTCCCAATTATCTCCAGGACAGAAAGGAGGGATTGTGATGTAATTGTGGGAGTGTTTAAAGGTGTATGTCTGTGATTGGCTAAGAGCCAATATGTTTCCCAGTTTCCCATTTGGTCCCCTAGGGGAGTGTCCACCAGGTGGGAGACCTGCATAAAAGCGGGCAGTTAGCCCCAGTAAACCAGTTCCTGCTTATCCCTCAAAGTGAAGTGTTGTCTCATTATTGGGGGAGGATTTATTGTATGCTGTTCCAGTTTGACTGCTAGGAGTGTAAACCTATTTGCATGGTTTTTCCTATTCGGCTGTTTCCAGTATTCGTGTGTTTGCAGTTCGGGAGAGTGGTGATTGCAGTAGCTGTCTGTGCATCTGAAAAAAGGGGAATATCGCCTAAACGTTTTTTTAAGCTCTTGTGGGCAAAACGGTCCGTTACACCCTCCTAAATACGTTGCATTATCCCCCAGTTCTGCTGTCTCGAGCACGTTGCTAGGCCCCCCCGTGAGCAATGTCTGAGTCCCTCTTGGTCTTTCCATAGTCCCCTTGGTCTTTTGTGGGACCTCCACTTGTGACCGCTCCCTAACTCAGGTGCCATCGTCCACCCCTTCCAGCAAGGTCCCTCACCCTCCTTCATGCCCCCTTCCAGCCTCATCTTTTCAGTCCCTTCCTGCTTTGCGGCCTCTCACCCCTGTTCATGTCCAGTCTCACCGCAGCCCCCTTTTCCCCTCCACCCAAATAGTCCCGGTGTCTTGGAGACCATGCAGTGCCTCCCTGTTAGCCCGGGTTATTATACAATAATAGACCATGCAGTCCCCGCCGTCTGCCATTCCAATGGTATCGGCATCAGCTCCTCCAACTGTGGGGGGCCAGCCGGCCAGCCCCTCAGTGGTTCCAGGCCCAGCTCCCTCACAAAGCGCTGTGGGTCGCCTCCAACCGGTAGTGTGTGGACTCTGCCTCCATGGAAAGCCATCAGGCGAAAGGGGAAACCCCAAGCGTAGCGGATTCCTGCCGCGCGCAGTGCCTCTGTGATGGGTTTCCAGTCTCTGCGGCGCGGAAGCGTGCTTGGTGCCAGATCCTGGTACAAGGTGATTTCCGCTCCCTGACATTTAATGGGACCCTCTTTGCTC